CCAATATAACAGACAAAAAGACAATATGGTTCAGATACAATTCTTAAAGGAACAGGAGCTAATAATACACATGACTAGACTTGATGGCTGGGAAAATAACTATTTGGCAGTTTGTTATTTTTTGAGCTAGGAGATTTCAAATGGAATTATTGGTTAAATTTCAGGATTATTTGAATCTGGGATATCTATTTGGAACAACAGTAATAAAAAATTAAAATAAAAATTAACCCCAAACTATTTTGAGTATTAGGCAATGGAAACAATTTCAAAACCCATAATTCATGGCATTGAGGGCCCAGTTATTAAGAAACGGTACATTGTTTACACTATGCATGACATTTCTTAACAGTTTAATCAAACACCAGCAAAACTTAATAAATTAATCACAACAAATAAAGTTACAGAAATTATTTGCATTGCTTATGGGAATTACTATAATCAACTTATTAGGACTCACTGAAAAATAAAAATTGCCTGAACTTATTAAAAGTTAAAAGTTAACTAACTGATACTACTCTTAATATATAACAAAAACTATGGCTAACTGGCAATGCAAACCTGAAGAGCACCATCCATGGTTTGTTGTTCCAGCATTATTTTCAACACGGCAACTCCAATGTGTGGCCAAAATGGTTCAGGCCAATGCGATGAACAGAGAACTAGCTGCTCCAGTGATCTACCCAGTGAAGCCTACCAGATGGTGACAACCAGCCATAAGGGTAACTTACAATACAGATGGACAGTACCGTGTAGTAACTAATTGCAAGAAACATATACATGGGGGCCTTACATGTAATGTCACTACTCCAAACTTACAGCATGTAAGCAGCACAGTGGAACACACTATTATATTGACCATTTACCAGTTTTTAATGTTCATATTAATACATTTACTTTAAATTGAAAAACGTCACTGGATTTAGCCCCCACCCCACACATACATTACTCAAATTAGCAATGATATATAGTAGGCAAAGCAATCTTTGAATGGCTTTATCCATTATGGGAATCTTGAAATACTGATTTCCAAACTTGAATAGAAGTTGCATTTAATGCTTTGCTTGCTTTACAAGATGTATGAAGTTATATTGGCTAAATAGGACTATCCATTTGTTAGATAACCCTGTTCTGTTACATTTAAGTATCCCATATCGCCTTGCAGCAGTTGAAGCAAGGTTTGGCATAAACAGATAGGAAAATTGTCAAAATTAAGATACATTAATTCTACATCTTATTACAAGCTAGGGAAATACTTTCATGGATCAGTTCCTGGAATGCCAGTATGTAAAACTAAGGTAAGGAAGGAACAGAACAAAAAAGTTAGGAACTGGGATAAACTGAGGGGTTCGATTTGAGTGTAAAGAGATGTGTGATTTGCAAAATCATCATATACATGTAATAGCAGATGAAATGTAAAACTTTGGGAGCATATCTTCTGCCACAAGTACACTGTTGCACAAGGTAGCTTCCCAGACACTGGTATTGTACGGACACCTTTTCCTGTAATGTGTTATTATTAGCTTATACCAATACAGCCGGTCCCCGAGTTGCGAACGGTCGACTTACGACCATTCGCAGTTATGACCAAAACTGTTGTAAATGGCGGACCCCGAGTTACGAACGCGATCCGCACTTACGAACAGCGTGGTCACGTGTAACTCAATGGGGTCCGACTTACGAACAAACTGAGTTACGACCAATTGCTTGGTCTGTAACCGGTTCGTAAGTCGGAGAGAGGCTGTATAGCTGACTTACATGGGTTACCTGGTCTCCTGAATATACTTCATAATGAACCAGTGTGGTCAAGCAATTGACTAGCCCATTGATAAACAAAAGTAATATCTGAAACTGGAAACAGTCATATACTTGTAAAACTCTGGTGGTGGAGGCACAAGCTTTTTTTGTACCTAACACAAGATCTTGTCATGGGTACAGTAATTCCCACTGCAATTTTCATTGGAATGAGTGGCTGCAGATATGGCAGAACACGCTAATTTACTTATGTCATCACTGGAGGACCATTTCACTTAGGCCTACTAAACCAACCAAGCACTCATGCCCATGGGCAGGTTTCTAACTGAAAGACGTCTTCCCAGCCACCCAGTCAGATTTATAAAAAATAACGGTTTCCACCTGCTATTGTAAACCTGCCTGTATGTCCCTGCTCAGAGACTGCTTGCGCACAGCAGCACTTCCTGGCCTGTCCATTGAGCTCCTCTGCTGGTGCCTGGCATTTAAGAGCAATTGAGTGAGGCACTGTGCAGTCTCTCCTTTCTTAGGCTGCTCCTCACAGTCTCGGTCCCTCACCCATCTTTGAGCAGCACAGCTCAAGAGAACAAAGATTAGGGTAACAGATAACTGGAATCAAGAAAGATGATGAGGGAAAGTTGAGAGAAGAATGAAAGCTGGCATAAGTCCAGCGTAACCAGTCAATTATAACAAACTGACTGGATCTTACAATCTGAGCAGAGAAAATCACTAAGCATTAGCTTCCATCAAGCAGACAAATTTTCAAAAACAGTTACTACGCATCCTCATTTTAGTGCTATTGTTTGTGTCAGGTGTGAAACGTGATTTCTATGCTGTCCTGAAATAATCAGGCCGAGCGCTAATCTTCTTTATTTTGTCTCAAATCGTTAGCTAAGAAATCTGGAGGAGGACTAATTTCTTTATGCCACACACAATGAGTCTGACTCTGTACCCAGTATGTAAATGAGGAGTAACTCCACTGAAGCCAACAGAATTACACCAGTATAAATCTGAGATCAGAAGCAGGCCCATATATTAGTATGAAGCTACTTGTGCTTATAAACCAGGTATGTTGCAGCAGAGCATATTATAGGTAAGTTATTCAAGTGAGTGATGCACAGAAGTAATATCTCTGATTAGCTGTAAAGGAGGAAAACAGATGCAAAATGATATTTTGAAATGAAAACTACTTAAGTAAAGTGCTTGAGACAGATCTTGAGTCCTCTGAGGGAAATCTCAAGTACAGTTGAAATATGGAACACATTTAACCAAAATATGGCTGCCGGTCATATACAGGCAGTACTGAGGGATAATGATCCCAAGCCAACATGCCAGTGTAACCCCCAAGGAGATGACTTAGATTCCCGGGGCTTTGTCTGCTGGCAGCTCAGGGAGAGGCACTCTGAGTTTGCCGTGGCTCCCCCTCCGTACCAGGGTCAGAGTCTGCCCAGCAACCCATAGGGAGTGAGATGTCCCTTCCAGGGGGAAGGAGAGGCCATTGTGGAGGGGAGTCTGGAGCCAGCAGGGCAAGGGGAGGACTGGCTGTGTGGGAGCTAGTAAGCCCCAGGCCTGCATGCAGGGTTCCCCCTGAGAACTGGCCTCTAGGGACCTGATGACAGGATCCCTCAGCTGGGTTTTATGTCTCCACTGTTGATTCCCAGTTTGTGGAGTTTTCTGGGAGGCGTCCCCAGCCAGGCTGAGTTAGCTCTCCAGCTCCCTGGGTGAGACCAGTCACCGCATGATCAGCTCTGCTCTGTCTGCTGGTTCAGGGCTGCTGCCTGCTGTGTGGGTCTGAATGCTGGGTTAGGAGGTTATAGTTTGAATTTTGGTGCAGCTGTGTGGCCTGCACCTTGAGCCCTTCGTGATGAGGGGAAATTCTGGGACCGAAGCAGCCTGATTCCTGCCTGAAGAGGATCCCTGCGAGAAGAGAACAGCCCCTTTGCAGTGACTGAGTCATCTCTGAACCTGAGACTCATTCATGGAGTGTGTGAGTGCACCAATTTTTAGTTAGTAAGTCAGGGAATTTGTTTGGGGATTTTATTACCTGCTGCATATTAAACCTGTGGAGGGATTTACTGCCTTCTCCCATTTGTGAGTCCTTTGGGCTGTACTGGACCTAGTCAGCCCCACTGCTAAACCACTGCAGAGAAGAATTTTGTGGTCAAAAGTCATCAAGGGCCCCAACAGAGTACGCGTACCAACGGGACAGTGATCTCATAGTTGTTGGGCACCGGTGACCCTAAAAATAGTGTTTTACCCTGTTCTGTTATATTTGCCTCCTGTTTAATATAACTGTGTTTATTATAGTGTATGTGTTTGTGCTATTTTCTGGGAGTCTCCAACTAGTTGGCAAATACATGGGGATTACCCTGGGCTAGAATTTTCCTCCCAAGCTGCCCTGGTGACCCTGCCAGGAAGGAGTGAGGGGGGTGGAGGCACCGCCAAATAAATCCATCAGAAAAAATAAAGTTGAGTGGGTGGCGGGATCCAGAAGAACCCAGACCTACCCATCAAAACCTGTAAAGAGATTGGCTTTAAAGAAGGTAACCAGGTGGAGAGGGGGCGCTACACCAGTATGGAATATTTTTTAATTAAGTGCCAGACTGTTACCAGCCCCTGACCAGCATATGCCTGTCCTCCCACTTGTGATCACCAAGCATATGCTAGTGTTGTCTGTAATCTTTGTACTCCTGTGGGCAGAACGACTGCTTGATAGCTTTGCTAGCCACCTCATAGGTGACTGGGTTGGCTGGCTTTCCACAGGAGGACTGGGACCACATCCTCACCTAGAAAAAAAAATCGCTATAGTGCCCTTGAAATCTAACTTCAGTTGTTTCTATCGTGCTTTCCTATTACAATCACGGCCCCAAATAGTTTGCAGAGTGGCTAGTCAGTTATCAGCACTTTCTTCTCCTGAGGTGACTGTAAATAAGGCTGCACAGTGAATTTTGTACTATGATTAGTCTCTTCTATTTTCCTTATGTATCTCTGAGATTACACCAAAACCTCTTGACTGGAAGCCAGTGACAATTCACCAACTTACATCCTGTCAGTTGGTTTGAATTAAATTGACCAGGATAAGAGTAAATTCATTGGGTGGTTTATATCAAAACACCAAAACAGCTTCTAGTTTCTGCCATTCCAAAATAGTTTCTCCATTTTTCAGGAACCCCAAGGTTATTCTGACCTGCTGTGTGTTTAAATAAACATCAAACACAAAAGAAAGCATGCGCAATCAATTGTGAGCTTACCTCCACATAGAGGATAGGGAAAATACCAATTTTATCTCCCAGCATTCCTTCTGCCCAGTTATCATCTACTCGCCTGATAACAGTCAAAATTTCATCCTAAAATCAGAGAGTGAAAACCACACACAATAACAGTTAGATTTTATATGGAAAGAGCAAAATGCTTTATGATAACCCCAAATTCATTATCTAATTAAAACAAACTTTCTCTGGTCTGCATGCTGTACAGTGATTGGCATGAAAAAGTTAGCATTTGCCAAAGACATTATTACTATCTATATTACAGTAGCAACCAGAAGCCCCAACTAAGATCTCTGTGGTAGGCACTGTGCAAACACAAAGGGTCAGTCCTGCGGGAATTCTGCAATTTTACTATGGCTTCAAATGCAGCAACTGCAGAATTCCCCCAGGACTAAAGGGTGTCTATGCAATTGGAGATGAACGTGTAAATCCACTTCACAGAGACATAACTGTGCCAGCTCTGAGCAAACTAATTCACTTGTAATGGAGTGTAGCAATAACAATACAAGCAATGGGTGCATACTTGGCTGGGTATGTACTAGTAGCAGCTCATACCATCCTGGCTACACTCCAGTTTTGTGCATGTTAGCTCAGAGCTAGCACAGGTACGTTTCCTCAAGCTGGGATTTACATCTCCAGCTTCAACTGCAGACAAACTGGTAGTGACAGGTAGTTCTTGTTCCCCAGAGTTTGCAGTCTAACTAGACAAGACAGACAAAGGGTTCACAGACCCACAGACATATTAAGTGAGTTGCCCGTAGACATGCAGTAAGCTGGCACCAGAACAAGGACTAGAACCCAAGTTTCCTGACTTTCAGTCCAATGTTGTGCTCCCTGAATCACACTGCTCTCTTGTAGGAATAAAAACCAGTTTTGTCCTGCACTTTGAACAAGAAATAGCTGCAGTAACTCTGTGATTACCAATGGCAATTCACTTTTTAACAGAGACCACTATGTGTTATTGCCGCTGTGTTTCATTGCCAAATAGGGTTGACAGGTGTCCGGTTTTCACCCAGACAGCCCGGTAATTGTGTCTTCTGTCCAGTTTAAAAAAACTGAAAATGTCCGGTATTTTCTGTTTTTCTCGGACGGAAGGCCGGCGGGGACATTGTTCCCCTGCCACGTCAGGAGGGTTGCGTGTGTATCCCTGGGGCCACTTTAAAATCTTCCCCTAGCCTCGCCTGCAGCACGGCCAGATACTTCAGGTTCCTCTCCTGCACATGGGAGAGGCACGCACAGGAAATCCTGCGTGAGGGAGAAGCTCTACATGCTGTAGCCCTGCGGCATTTCATCAAGGCAGCAGTGAAAAAGAGGCTGCAACTCCTTCTAGGGTTACCAAGTAGGTCTAGAAAGCATACCGGACACACTTGATGGGGAGAGGGGGGTCAGTGTTCCGTGAGGCCTGGCATGTTAGTATAAGCAGGCATGCTGGTCTGTCGGCATCAAAAACCCTTGGTAAATGGGACTTGCTGCCATTTTGTAAAGTTTCCTTTTTTATTCTCTTTCCTGGAATAACTAGGTCAGACCAAGGCATATGTGTATGAGGTTGGTTTAAAAAAAAATCACTCAACTATCATTCATTATTCACTTGAGATTGCATTAGAATATATTAATATTAAAATATTTAAATGTAGAACAAAGGGTTTGAAATGTTACAACGATTCATCACCTGAAATGAGAAGTCAGTACTCTGTTAGTTACAGAACTGTTTGTTGCTGAGTTTAGGATCCTCCATTTCATCTCATTAACAACTATTTTTACTTTGAATGCTGACTGGACCATATTCCTGTTTCACTGAATTTAGCTTGTTGAATGGTGTTCATATCTACAGTCATATATGAAGGTGCATGTTTAAATGCTGCTGAGGAGCGGGGACAGGGCTTCTCCTCCTCCCCAAGGTGTCAGACGCAGCCAGGGCTCCCAGCGCCGATCACGCCCCGCCTCCCAGCCACTCACCTAGCCCCCGCCAGGCTTCCATCTGGCGCCCAGCCAGAAATCCAGGAAATCCCGGATATTGCACATGTCCGGTATTTTCTGGATTTTTTGATTGGACAGAGGGCCCAAAAACCAGACTGTCCGGTAGAATACCTGACACCTGGCAACCCTAGCTCCTTCCCAGGCTCAGGCAGCTGCAGAGGCTGCCAGCAAAATTCTATTTGCCCTGAGCAGGTGTGTGAGAGGAGAGGAGAGGGAGGGAGGGGATCCATTCCCAGAGTGGGAGGGAAGGGAAGCCACCTTTTGGAAGGAAGGGGAAGCCACAGCAGGGCCAGCTTCTCCCCTTCCTTCCCGCCTCCTTCCCTGAATAGGCTGGCTAGCCTCTGGCAGACTGGAGCCTTAACAGTTAAGGAGGCATTCAGGACTTGAGGGAAGGTGGGAGGGGAGATACCTTGCAGGTGTGAGAAGGAAGAGGATCATCCCCAGTCCCTTCCCCGGGATGGGGTGCAATGGCTACATCTGGGCAAGCCCCAGAACTCCTTCCCTGCAATAGGCTGGTTGCAGCAAGGCCCTAGCTAGCCCTACACTGGCAGCAATGCCTCCTTAACAGGGACCTGAAGGAAAGAGGGGTGGGAGGGAGGAATCCCTTGCAAGAGGGGGAGGGAAGGGAAGCCCCCCCCCACACCTCTTCCCTGCATAGGGTTAGGGTTGCCAGGTATGAGGTTTTCACTTGGACAATCCAGCAATTGCCTCTTCTGTTTGGTTAAAAAAACCGCCCAAACCAGAAAATACTGGTATTTTCTGTTTTTATCGGACGGAAGTCCAGCGTCCTTTTTTTTTTTAAGCTCAACCAATTTTCCCCCCGCCATGTTCAGGATTTTTTTCTGAAAGTATCTGGCAACCCTACTGCTTAATGCTCAGACTGGCCTCAATCTTCGTAAGAGGCCATTCTGCGGAGCAAACTCAGCTGGTCTGGGATGGAGGATGTGTCTAAAGCCTTATTTACACACACATCCCCCTTCTTGGACCAGCTGCTCACCACACTGATCCACGAAGTGTATTAAAACAGTCTATACATTGTTCCCCCAAACCCTTCATCCCCAAGGGGCCCGTGCAGCAACTGAGAACCAACAGTCCTGATCACACCTCCCATTTCAGCTGCAACTATGGCTGGCAGGCTACATATGACTCATTGGGGTCTCAAAACAGTTTGCTTATTGCTACCCATGCGCAGGGTTGCAACTTTCTGTTAGTTTCCATCTGCATGGTTTTTTTCCTAAGGTACCCGCCTCCGGAGCTAGAGGTCGAGGGTTCGATCCTGCCCTGGCCCCCCCTCTCCTCGGGGACAGCCACCATAAGCTAGGTAATGAACGGACCTGGCACCCTGGGGACATAGGAAGGATAAGGGGGGGGCCAGAATGTAGGGAGGTTGGGCTCCTCCAGTGTCCCTTGTAAAGCAAGGGCATGTGAAGTGAGATGAGTGCTGATGGCACACAATATTGACTGTAAGAGCTATGCACTCTCTCTGCATCCAATCAAAATGCTGCAACGGTTCAATTGGCACACCCCGCAAATTCTAGGTACTCAAGTGCAGTAAGCAAAACTACCCTGTCCTGGGAAACCGTTTTGGTTATGACAATCTTGTGGTCCGCTGAGATGAAGGAGGGCCCAACACCATTCTAGGAGATGCACTTTTTGTCAGTGGTAACTTAGTTTTACTTATTTATGTATAAAATACTAGCGTCAATGTACTGCTGTAGGGTCTATTTTGTAAACATAATGAAATCTTATAATCAAGAGATTCCATTTCAGTGCAGCTCTATTAAATCTTAGGTGAGGGATGTGGAAAGGACAACAACTCTTTGTACTTATTATACAGCATGAGGGTCTGTTGATTAGCAAGTTTTTCCTCTATTAAACATTTCCAGGTGCAGACAAAAATCTAAAACATGTCAATGATAAGATCTTACCACTTAAATAGAACTCTGAGCTATCTCAGTTTGAACCACTGAATTCACTGCAGGTGCCTCTACACTGCATGCTTATTTCGAAATAAGCTATTCTAGAAGAAATACTCCGAATTAGCTTATTTCAAAATAGGACATCTACATTACAGGGAAGTCTCAAAATTAGTCCGAGGCAGGCTTTCCTGATGTGGATGTGCTACCTTGACTGAGAACCCCAGAAGGCATGGGGGAGTAATTAGTTTGAATGGCCCTGGGGAGGAGCTATTTTGAAATAGTAGCAGTGGAGCATCCACACTACTGCTATTCCGAAATAGCTATTTCAGAATAGGCATTGTTCCTTGTGGAATGAGGTTTACAGAAGTCGGAATAAACAGTCTGTTATTTCGAATTTGTTTTGAAATAACAGAACTGCTATGTAGATGCATCCTCTCTGAATTACATTTACAATGATCATTTTGTGGTGATGGGTTCACTACAACAACATGAGATTTGAGCCATCACTGAGGGGTCCCCCAGAAAGGCATGTGGCAGTGGTCCTAAAGTGAAATGCCATGAGGCCATTAAATGTGTTCTGTGACAGGCAATTAAGGAACAGAGAGGATTGGTTTGGAAGACTTCTGAAAGACTTCTGAAGTTCACCATCTGATCATTCACTTATTGCATCAAACCTTTCTCTTCCATCCCTGTGAAGAAACTCAGTGATTTCCTCTCTTGCTACTTATGGGCTTTCCCTGAACAGAGTTATGGCATTTCTTGCACTAACTTTGTTTATGGAAATAAATAAACTTTTCCATTTATTAATGTTTTGGGTATGGATGGATGCAGCTGTCCAGCAATGTTGCATTTATCTGTAATGGTGATACAGTTCTCTGGTCAACAAATTTATAAGTGAATAGCTACACTGATCGAGAGTGCGAAAATACCTCCTAGGTTAGGAAGCTTTGGCAATTGCTTTTGACTGAATATTATCATGTTTCACATCCCAAAGACTGCAAACTAACTCAAATAAGTTAAACAATTCCTGTGAGTCGTTCACCTCACAAACCCTAAGCTGAAAGATAGTGAAAACAGTCAGGGTATGTCTACACTACAGCGCTAGTTCGAACTAACTTAGTTCGAATTAGTTAATTCGAACTAAGCTAATTTGAACTAACGTGTCTAGAACTAAAAACTAGT